TATCATGGTTGAAGTTGAAAGTGGTGGTGTTGCTATGATTGGAAAAGGTGACGAAGAAGCCGAGGCTGTGAAGTGGATCGAACGTGGGCTTGTGAAGGTGTGACTAAACTGCGAAGAAGTAGTAGAAGCCAAGGCGGTGAGCGGATTGAACCTGTCGAGGCCTTTTGAGATGTGGTTGAACTGCGAAGAAGCAAAAAAAACCAAGGCGGTGAGTGGATCGAACCTGCCGAGGTTTGTTAAGATGTGGCTGAACTGTGAAGAAGCAGAATAAGTCGAGGTGGTGAGTGGATCGAACATGCCGAGACTTGTTAAGATGTGGCTGAACTACGAAGAACCAAAAGAAGAAGTCGAGGTAGTGAGTGGATCGAACTTGCCGAGGCTTGTTAAGAGTTATGATTTTCTTCGATGTTTGCGCCAATGATTTGATGTTTTATGCATGTTACCAAGAAAAGGCAGCCGAGCCGTTTCGACTTCCAAGGTACGTACGGCTGCTGCATTGAATGTGCAATGATGGCTACAGTTGAGGCTTCTAGAAGGAGACACGTTTGGAGATGTGCGTGGGAAACATGTTTGAATCGGAGGCAGTTACTGTCGCATCGTTTGGGGAGGGGCAGTTCATAGGGGGGACTCTGAGGTCGAACATTATGCTATGACCGAGGAGCTCGTAAATTACGAGGAGTGAGGTGCGTCTAGGATACCTTCAAATATGACCTAGAAGAGGTTGGAGGAGATAAGGGAGAGCTACTGCGTGCCTTATAACATAGAAATGTTAGTCTCCAAGGCCGATGAACGGGCTTGTTACTCGAGGTCCGAATGTGTCGTAGTTAGTGAATACCTATTTAAGGCGGATATGCATCGAAGCTCTACACTCCTTCTTCAGGGCAGTGCTAAGGAATTTTATGTTGTCGTCGACCCAGGTTCTGCCAAATGGGTGGAGCCAGGTTGTGGGGTCTTACTTTCTATGGAAGGAAGTGTTGATGGGGGAGGCTATGCCTTTGCATGTCTTCCAGACCCTCTTCCAGCCCAGAGTCTTAGGCAAAGACGAGTTGAAGGGGTAGTACTACACTACTACCAAGGGGTCACACGCCCCTTTTGTGGTAGGATTGCCTTCTTCCATCAAGGGGTGGAAGGAGTCGTAGTTCTGGGTTCGGGGCAACTGACAGGCAGTAGTTGGGGACAAAGCCTTGGCTTGCACGGTACCGACCCAGTACTACGAAGCTCATGAGTCCCCAGCCTAAGCTGTACTTTGCATGCTGTTTGAGCTTTCTGGATTTTTTTTCCTAACTGTTGTCGCATGTTTTGTAGACTCGAGTACGAGGTACCAGCTCCACAAAGCGGAGTTTGACGTCATAGAGGACATTTACAAGCGTCCCCTGAAGTTTCGCCACTTCGATCATCTCATCGATCGAAGTCGTTATTTCCTTGACTTCGGACTGATAGCTTCTAAGGATAAGAAGTGCCTATACTTTGTGATGAAAAAGTTTGTTTATTGATGTCTCCTGATCTATTGTTCCTTTGTGTTGCAAATAAGTTCAAGAGGAGGGAGTACCCCGTCCTTGATATGGCCACCATAATGAAGGCCACTACTACTGTTAGGGCCAGGCCTCTGAAACCCGGATCAAGCAAGGCAAAAGATGTGAGAGGTAAGGTGGAGGGCCTCTCCAAGATAAATACCTCCCAGGCTGCTGAGAAGGAGGCTCCTCAGAGGGAGAAAGACAGGAAGCCTGGAAAAAAAAGTCGCTGAGGACTTCCAGAAGAAGAGAAAGCGGGTCCACCTCACTA